TGTTGTTGGCTTCCTGTTCCTCCCCTCTGTCCTGAGATCCAGTTTGCAAGTCAGAAATCCTGGTGCAATTGTTCCAAAGGCTTGTGGGTGAGAGGAAACAGGTTCCCTTTTCTTCTCACCAGCTGATCTAACATATTGTTGGTACTGGCACAGTTTCTGATCCTCCGCCCCTGCCCTCCCCCTCAAAAAAAAAAAATAGGCACTTTGGAGTGTGTCTCACTAGTTCAATGGAACATGCACACCACCACATCTAGGAAGGGTCCTGACAGTCCCTCAGCTGCAATCTAAGCAGGAAATTTATCACCTTTCCAGTGTTCGGTACTTAGGTAGGGGGTTCATGGTCCAGTTCATGGGCACATCTGCTTTTCCAATCCTATTTAAAAAGTTGCTGGGCTGGGGATATAGCTCAGTTGGTAGAGTGCTTGCCTTACATGTACAGGGCCCTGGGTTCAATCCTCAGCACCAAAAAAAAAAAAAAAAAAAAAAAGTTGCACACCTAGAAGGGGTCCACTGAATTTTCAAGGTGCTCAGCACAGTCCTTAATCCCTTGTCTAGGATCAAGATCTCCTTATGGTAGACTCAGGGAATGCCCCCCAACCCAACCCAGACCAACATAAAGCAAGACCTCTTAGGACTAAGACATAAACACCTTTCAAGGGAAATAAAACAGTCAAGCCAGCTCTTGGTTTTATGGAGTTTTTAGCCATACCAGAAAATTAGGAGTTAAAAGGTGAACCGGTCTTCAAGGCTATGGGAATAAGATAACATGCAAGGAGATGGGAGGCTGGGGAACTCAGCTCAGCTTCTGACACTGTGTGGTCTATAGAAGTCCCAGCTAAAGCCACACAAAGCAGGGTCTGCACTATTCTGAAAACAGTAATCTCAGAGACTCTACCAGATGATAACAGGCGACTCCAGGTAGTGAGGAGCAAATGCATGCATAGTCACCATGGTAACCACATTACCTTTATCTTTAGAATAGAAAGATGCTCATCCGGATGTGGAGGCTTAAGTTGATAATGAGACATGTGTCACATGAAGAAGCATGATGGAGAAGAGTGCAGGTGTGACGGAAGTTCCACCTCTACCTATGATGACATCAAGAGGCCAAGGTTCTATCTACCCCAGGGATGCCATAAAACCTGTTCCCCTTTGTTCTTTCTTGGAGCCAGCCTCACCCCTCCCTCTCAGTGCTGTGACTCCCTTCTGGCTTGAGCAGAAGTCCCTTATGAAGCCTTGCCTGTGCTTAAATTCTTTCTGGGTCCAGTGTTTGTTTCTACAACTCTGAATCTAAGAACCTGAGTTTGCTTAACACTTATGGGGACACTCAAATATCAAGACTTTGATGTGGATGGAGACCCTGCCCCTTAAGATCTGACTGCAGGGGCTCCTCCTGCCATTAACCTTATCCTGGCTATGGGTGTGGGTGAGTAGGGGAGTGCCCTTCTCCACTAATTAAGGGACAGCTCAAGGGGAGACCATGAAGGAGTCCATTGGCTGAGCCTGGTAGGGAGGCTGCACCTCTCAGTCCCTGGCTGTGTTAGGCAGCTTTTTGTCACTGTGAACAAAATTCCTGAACAGAACAACCTAAGGGAGGAAAAGTTTATTTTGGAGTTTGTGAAGCAGAAAGTCAAAGTGGAAGGTTTTGGTGGAGGAAGTCGTCTCTGTTCCTGGCAACCAAGAAGCAGAAAAAGGGAGGGGAAGGGAAAGTGAACCTTTCCAGGACACACCCCAGAGCCACCTCCTCCAGGCAAGCTCCACTTGCCTAAGTCTCCACCCAATCCTCCAAAGTAGGATGGACTGATTAGGTCACAGCTCTCACAACCCAGTCATTTCACCTCTGAACACTCCTGAGTTAACACAGGAGCTTTTGGGGGACACCTCAGATCCAAACCATAACACTGACCTTGCTCCCACCCTAATCCATGTTGGCCCTTTGAGGGGCTTTTAGTGGAAATTAGCTCAAAACTACAATGAATTCCAGCAGCCTCAGCTCCTCCCACTGCCCTTTCATCACCTCTTCCACTTGGACTCAGAACAGCCTCCCCAGCCACCACCAGCTCCCTGAGAATTCTCCTCTTAACCCAGCCCTGCTTGTGCTCTACCTGCACATGACCTTCCCCTTCCCATCTCTCCCCTCTTCTAACCCCTGACCCCAGTTCCCTCACAACCACTTTTTTCTTATTCCTTATAATTTTTCTTCCCTGTCCCTTATAATTTGCAGAGAAAGAGAGAGTCTCTGGCCAAATTGATAGTCACCTCTGTGCTCTTCCCCAAAAAGAAATCTTCTCACAGATTCTGCAGCAAGGCAGTCAGAGGCTGGGTAAGAGTGGCTTCTCTCATATTCCCTTTCCTTGTCCCTCTACTAGTTAGCATCTGCCTCTGTGGATGTATGTCAGTGAGTGGTGTGTGCCACATCTGCATGCACATGTGTGTGGGTGATGCCTGTGGGACAGTGTCCACCTGTGTGAGCAGACTGCACCCTAGGAGCTCTGTATATCAACATTCAGCTCCTGTTTACTGCCTTTTCAGCCTAAGGTATTTCTTTGACAAAGAACTTGTCACAGAGTTCAATATAAGAAGGCAGTTTGTTAGAAAGGCTGCTCACCGAAGTGGTTTTGCCCAGAACAACAAGAGAAACCCAGGTTTTATCATGTTTTTCTTTGATTTATTTATTTGTTTGTTTGTAGATGGGCACAATATCTTTATTTATCTATTTTTTTATATAGTGCTGAGGATCGAACCCAGTGGCTTACATGTAACCCCTGAGTTACAGCCCCAGCCCATAATCCAGGTTTTAAGTTCAATTTCCTGACACTGACTCAACAGCCACAAATTTCTGCTGGAAGGTGGAAGTTTTTCACCCTTCTGTGAAGAGTAGAGGATCCCTCCTTTCTTTCTTTTTTTTTTTTTTAATTTTTAGTTGTAGATGGACACAATACCTTTATTTATTTATTTATTTATTCATTCATTCATTCATTCATTCATTTATTTATTTTTATGTGGTGCTGAGGATCGAACCCAGTGCCTTACACGTGCCAGGCAAGTGCTCTACCACTGAGCCCCAGCCCCAGCCCCAGGATCATTCCTTTCTGACTATAACAGTAGTGGGTTTCATGTGGTTAGTGCTACATTTGGTCCATGTCTCTTTAGGGGCAAGAAGAAGACAATTGTGAAGGCTCTGAGTTCAGATCCCTGAGAAGAGGGTGAGGATGAAGGATGTGTTGGGGTATCAAGGGAGAGCCCACCACACACAGGCAGCTTCTATGAGGCTCTAGCTGTGTACCCAAGCTGGGGAGGTTTTGTCTCTAAGCTCAGAGAAGCAAGTGGAAAGATTGTAGAGAGGCCTTTGGCAGACAGAGTCAAAGGACTGTAGGTGATAATGAAGCTGGGCCACGTAGAGGCTCCTAGGCTGTAGGGATAAGGGTAAAAGCTTTATATTCAGCTCCTTCCTTCCTTTAAAATTTGCATGGCAAGAGGGGTTTGCCCCGTTCCCTGGAACTGCCTGTGTAGGTGTGTGTGTGTGTGTGTGGTGACTGACGCTGCAACCCAGCTGTGGTGCCTCCTTACTAGATGATTCATCCTCAGCTGGCTCTGTAATTTGAAGGTACATAAATCTTAAGAAAGTGAGATGTGAAAGTCTCATAACAGAGGTGTTGATGGGAAATGTCACCATCGCTGTGAATCATCCTCACTGTGTGGGCCCTGGGGACTGAATAGATGCACTTGCTTCTGCTTTGTGCTGTGGAGACTCACTGTGCTGGGCAGAGGGGGCCGCTCTGGGGGCTTCTCTCCTACACACAGCACAGCTTGGAGGAGGCTATGTGTGGGGACTGTGGTCAGGCCAGGGTTCACATTGTGGGGCCATTGGACTCTTTTTAGCACATGACTGTCAGAGACTCATTTATTTCTCTTCTTCACATCCCATGACCCTCGGGCAGAGCCTTTCTCTGCAGATGACTGAGGCATCTCTAGTTTCATATTAGCTTTGGAAGAGGATTGGGAGTTTCCTAGCTCCCCAGGGTTACTTTGAACCATTTCTGACTCCTCTGGAGTTGAAGTGGGGAAGCTGTGGTCCTGGCACCCAGAATTCCATCTGCCTTTGACCTCCAGTTCCTGAAAGCTCATGCACTCATGAGTGCCAGATGGTCTGTGACTTGCCAAAATTGAGTCACAGATTCAATTCAGTAATTACAGAACCCTGGGGTGGCCAGGGGCTTTGGAGGTCATATGTTTCAAGGGTACAGGTGTCCAAGTGGCCCCACCCTGGTGAGTGTCAATGGGGATTTCACAGACTCATGGGGAACCCATTCTGCTGTGGGCAGCTCTAGTTCCTTTCATTTATGGAGTCTCCTCTGTTGTCAGTGCCAGATATTGGACTAAAGGAAAAAAAAAATGACTGGCACTTGAGCCTTTCCCTTTAGGCGTTCTTTTTTTTTCATTTTTACAACTTTCTTTTTTTGGATCCATAGTTTGCATCTACTCTCTGAAGTGAGAGAATGTGTTAGAATGACCATTGTGACCAGATTTCTCCTTAGTCATCTCTTATCCAGGTTAAAAAAAAACTTCTGTTTTCGCGCTGGTGATGTGGCTCAGTGGTAGAGTGCACACCTAGCATGCATGAGGCACTGGGTTCGATCCTCAGCACCACATAAAAATAAAAAGTAAAGATATTATGTCCACTGAAAACTAAAAAAAAAAATAAATATATTTGTAAAAACTTCTGTTTTCTTACAATGTCATAATGCAGCATCTAGAGGTGGTATTATGCAGTACCGAAGGCTTCAGCTCTGATTTTGCACAGATTTGGCTCAAACACCAGACTCTACCACTTAACCAGTTGTGGTAACTAGAGCAAGCTTCTAAGCTTCTCTGAGTCTGATTCCTCAGCTGTACCTACTTGATCCAATAGCATTATGTGAGCATTATTTTGACCTAATATCCTTGATTTTAGTTATGTGATACCTGTCATATCTTAAAACCCATTTCAGTGTGCTCACCATGGTGGTTGTCTGCCTTGTCTCCAGACCTGATCAATTTGATGCCTGTTGTTGGATAAAATACTCCTTGGGCAATCTGACAGCAGAGATCTGGGATGCCATTACTTCTGGTGGATCCAGATTTGCGGGATCCATGAGGGCACACAGAGGAAGCGAACATCCAAGCTGAGAACTGAGAGATATGAAGAAGATTTAGTTTCTTGAAAAGAAGGTGAAGAAAGAGAAAGATTCTAGGAATAGGGGATGGCATGTGCCAAGGCCCAGTGGGGACAAATGGCACAGTTTGGTGAAGATGCAGCAGTGTAGCTGGAGCAGAGAGGTGAGGAGGATAAGACTGCTGTGTAAGCAGGGAATGTGAGCAAGGGCTTCTTTGGACATGACATAGAATTGGACTGTGTCTTGAGAACCACCAAAGGAACCACTGAAGGTTCAAAGCATTGGAGTGACATGATCCTCCCCTAATTCTTGGGGGAGGATAAAAGCTGGACCTTGGAGCTGAAAAAGTTGAGTGGGACAAGTATTTTATTTAGCCCATATTGGCATTCTTATCAGGGCCACCATGTCAACTTAGTTGATTTAGTATGCCATGCTGGTTAAGCACTAGAGCTCTGAAGTCAGACTGTCTAGGTTCAAGGCCTAGCACTTCCAACTGTCATCTGTGTGATCTGAGCAAGGTTAAATGAATAGCCCATCAATATTGTACTAATAATTGGGCTAATTTAACATGATGTATAACTTGCACATCGTAAATTAGTCCTGTTATGCAGACTGTTAATCTATACTGTAGCATCATGGACCCAAGCAATCATGGAGGATGATGGAGACAGAAATAATTTGATGTTTTTAAATATCTGACAACTTCCAACTTCTGTGGAGTTGGGCTCTTTCCAAGGTCAGCTATAGTGGCAAACATGCAAATGTGTGTTCCATGTTACTTTATTAATACCCATCTACATCCTAGTGTTAACAGAGATGGGATCTTCTGGCTTAGAAATAACAGAAATGAGACTGAGCAAATATTGCAAGCACACAGAGGCAAGGCTTCATGGGGACTTCAGCTGAAGGGAGACAGCAGTTATGGAAAGACCAAGCTTCTCCCTAAACAAAGGAAGAGGTTAGCTTTTATTGATTTTCTCAGGTGGACTAAAGTCTGGCAACTTCCACTGGTCAGGGGTACACTTCCAACAGATATTTTTTCTTGCCCAGGACTCAGACTACCAGAAGATCATGGTCAACTTGTCCCTGAAAATGCTGAGTTATTGTTGCAGCTGACACCATCATCCTGAGCAATCATTTTGGCCTTGGGGTTCTATCTGTGCCTTAGGATAGGGGTGAAACACTATGTGCTTGGGCTGCTGTACAAGTCTTGAGTAGGAGAAAACACATACCAGCTCCAGTCAGAAACCATGCCTACAGGCAGAGGTTAGTAGAAATTGACCTAAAAGTTAAGGCAATAAAGAGGACAGATGTAGGATGAAAACAAAAAATTATGAGATTCTTCCCCCTGTTCTAGTCACCCATTAGACATCTGCAAGTCCAAGTGAAAAGTCTGTGTTCTCAGCAAAAGTCCCCTTCAAGTTCTAGAAAAGTAACCTAGGTAACCATTATCATGCATAAATTACCCACCAGAGGTGTTATCCACAGCAAAGCTAGCAAGAAGATAATATTGTACTGCCCAAGTGTGTGACCTCCAAAATTAATGATTTTTAAGTTACCTAAGAACAAGGAAAGCTGGAAGGTTTATTTAGGTTTTTCCCTGATAATCATTTCATCTTGTGCAAAATTTTGCTTCTGTGGTCTTATCAGGGTCTCACGTCTCACCATTCTGCCCCATAGTGGTGTCCCTGACTATCTTGCTAGCAAGAACAACTCCCTACCCAACGCTAACTGAACCAGAATCTTGAGAGAATTCTATCAGCAGACAACATTTCTGTCTTTTATTGCTGTGTTTAAAAGATGAAAAGAAAACATTAAAGAACATATGGATACATAATTTACTTACTGTAACATCAAAGATATGTTCACATTATCAGTCTTTACCCATATGACTATGTATTTTACACAGTTGTGTTATGTTGTATACTCTCATGTATAATTACAACATAAACATTCTGTAGTTTTTCTAAGAAGTTTATATATTTTCATCTTAATGATGACAGTCATAACACAGTTAACTAAAACACTTATTTTTTTTTCAATATGTGCCTATTATGGGGAGATATGTGTGCGCCTGTTGCTTCTTTTCTCTTTTGTTGAATTCTTTCCTTGGGAATTTCCAAACAGAGATATTACTAGGCCAAAGATAAGGATTACCTCAATGGTACTTGCTTTGTGCTGTCATTTTGCTTCTGTGAGAGATTATATATATTTATTATGTCACTAGTTCTGTAAGATCACACTGATTTTGACTTAACCTCTTCAAAATTAGATTTTCTTTTTTATAATCTTTAGTATTAAATAGATACAAAAAATGGTATGATTCATCTTAATTTTCTTCTCTTTGATAATAGTGAGGCAAGATAGTTTTCTGGTGTCTTAATATATAAAGCATACTTACTTTGTGTAAACTGTATAAGGTATGCTTGAAAAGGGACAAGGGAGAGAAGGGGCGACCATAGAGAAGACCACTAGACTCTTGAGAGGGAACCAACCAAGGCTCTCATTTCCAGCACCTGGTTCTTGAAGCTGAAAGAAAAGCCAGTGCAGTTGCACACAGGCGGGCAGCAATCTGGCCTGGGATGGGGCCTACTAACCTAGTACAGACAGCTGCACTGACCACATATATTCCCCTCCATGCTTTATTCCAGGAACTTGGTGGCCTAGAAACCAGGCTATTTGGAGTCTGATCTGGCTGAACATAGCTGTCTTTTTTACGCAGACCATGTGTGGGAACCATCAATCTTCTCACAATAACAATATTGGCTGTGCAGCCCTTGAAACCTCACAAAGAGCTTTCACACCTAGGATCTCATTGCACCCTGACAGCAATCCTGTAAGGGACAGATGTTATTATTTCCATTCTGAAGATTAGGAAAATGTCATTGTTGTCATTACAAATAGTTCAGGAATGATCAGCCATTCACAACAGTTCCTGAGGGTGGAGTCCATCCTATCCCAGCTATGGCTCAGCAGGGAAAGTGCTGGAAAATGAAGGCTCTTCCGGCCTCTCCTGCCTGCCCCCACACCATCTCCATGATATTGACTAAAGGGCTCCCAGCCCTTTGTCTTCTTGGAGGGAGGGATGGCTGTGGCCTTTTGTTGAGGGAGGAAACACTGAAGGTCTTTGTGTAGAAACAAGAGCTGCTTGTTCTTGGAGACATATTGTTATCTCAAAGATGCACCTGGGACTGGCCTTGTATAGGAGAGGCCCTGAGGCAGGACAAGACTGAATCTAAACACTCTTTCTTTGGTGACTTGTGTCTGCCCATCAATTAATACTGGATGCTCTTTACCCATTGCTGGTTCTGAAGAAATTCCCCCTTGTCCACTCTTTCAATTGGTTTCAAGATTCTGTCCAGAATTTGGTAGAATCTTGTATTATCAAAAAAATGAACTGAGCTTGGAGATCAGGAAGAAATGGTCTTTCTTCCCTCAGCAAGTAAGGTGCATAAGCAAGGGGTTATAAGAACATGAGACCAATTTGTTCATCTTATTGGTGATGACAGCAGGAAGCCAGGGGTTTTTAAGTTGAGGCAGATGGTCAGGACTGGGCAGAGGTTCTAGAACCAGAAATAAGGCATCAGGCAATGGTTGTCCAAGATGAACTTTGAGGAGCCCTGGGACTTCCCATGCCCTTTCAGGGGTGTTGTGAGGTCTTTTCTTACCCAATAACATTATTTGTTCAAGATCATATTTACCAAGCAAAGCAACTATTGAAACAGATTGAATGTAGAAGCAGACAGGAGAATCCAGAGGTCATCTACAAAGGCAGACATTAAGGAGACTTGTAAACATGTGACATGTTGCCTCATTTCTCAGTAAAATTGTTTTTGCTTTGTTTAGAATAGTCATTTTTTTTAAAAAAAATGTTGTATGTACATATATTGGGTTTGTTAACATCTTTTTTTTTTGTACCAGAGATTGACCCCAGGGGCACTTAACCATGGAGCCACATCCCCAGCCCTTTTTCATATTTCATTTAGAAAAAGTCTTTCTGAGTTTCTTAGGGCTTCACTAAGTTGCTGAGGCTGGCTTTGAACTCGAGATCTTACTGCTCCTAAGCCACTGGGATTATAGATGTGCTCCATCGTGCCCAGCTGTAAACATTATTTTTGAATGAATAAATTAATAAATATTTTAAATATTCCCCAGGTTTAATTTCTAATGAAGTCGTATGGATAGCTATAAACCAAGTATCAAAAACATTGTTGGAGCCAAGTATGGTGGCACATGCCTTTAATCTCAGCAGCTTGGGAGGCTGACACAGGAGGATTGTGGGTCAAAGCCAGTCTCAGCAACTTTGAGGCACTAAGCAACTCAGTGAGGTCCTGTCCCTAAATAAAACACAAACTAGGGCTGGAGATGTGGCTCAGTAGTCAAATGCCCCTGAGTTCAAATCCCAGTACCATAAAAACAAAACAAAACATTGTTGGAGTTGAAAAACTTTTAAGAGTTACAAAGGAGTCCTGAGAATAAAACTTTTCAGAACCAATTGTGTAGAGACTGAGTCTGAGCTGGTCAAATGAGATAATTTCTTAGCATAGAGGAAAAGAATAGGTGAGAGATTCACACATTCATTCATTCAAACATTCATGAAGTCTCACTAAGTGCCAGGCCCTAGGTCAAGTGCTAAGGGCTTTGAAATGCATGAGATACAGCCTCTGTCTTCATGGATCCAGGGAGACCATTATTTAAACAACAGCAACAGAGTGACGGTTGACAGTGGAAGGGGGCTCCAGGACTCTGGGGAGACATAGGGACAAGTGGCTAGGGAGATCAAGGAACTCTTGCAGTGCCACAGACAGGTGTCCATGAAGTATGAGGAGGCCCAGAGTCATTGTCAGAAGGCCCAGGATCATTACCACTTGCTTGCTTCCTTGCTGTTTGAACAGTGTTGGAGCTCAGCCTGGAGGAGCCAGGGTTGAAGGAGGAAGTAATAGCCACCCAAGGCCTTGGGCGATGAATAATTGAGAGCTTTGCCATAGTCAGTATCAAAGGGCAAGTAAGGGGTGAATGCCTACTGATATTTCTCTATTATTTTACTATTACAATATAATAAAAATAAAATGGTTACATTATTAAATTTTTCCCTAACATATAGTCCCTGTTTTAAAAAGTCAAATAATACAGAGTGTCAAATGCCCTCCCTGCAGTCACCATGGAAAGTCACTGTATCATCTCAGCCACTTTCAAGACACACCCAGGTCTACATGAGCTTTAGACAGAGAAGCTGGGATTGTTTGCAGCAGAAGGTGTGTGAGGTCAACAGGACACCCTGTGTGAGCCTGAGTGTCTGCTGATGGTGACAAGAGCAGTGTGGAGGCCCTGATGGCTGATGGCAACAGAGGCAGTGCAAAAGGATCTCTTGGTGCACTTTGTGGAGAATAAATCACACCTCTGAATAACCACAGGGAGCTGCCGGCTCGCAGAGAAGCCAGGATCAGGAGTTTGCTTCTTCAGGACACTTCTGGGTCCTGGGCTGGCTCTCCCAGCGCCCCCTTCCTTCCCTCTTCTCTCTCCCCAGGCACTGGCCCATTTTGCTTTCTCCTGACCCATCTCTGCCTGCAGCTTTGGTGTCCTCTTCTTTTCTTCCTAGTTCCCTACCTCACAGCCTGTCTTCCTGTTTTTGACAAGGCCCTAGGACTTCTTGGGATTTTTCAAATACTCTCCTTACTGGGAACATTTTCCATTTTTAATTTGAACTCCAGGGAGAGTTTAACAAGTTGTTTTAGGCAGTTCATGACCTTCAAAGTAGTAATGATATCGCTTCTGTTTAAATAGAATTATTATTATTATTATTTTAAAGAGAGAGAGAGAGAGAGAATTTTTTTAATATTTATTTTTTAGTTTTTGACGGACACAACATCTTTATTTGTATGTGGTGCTGAGGATCGAACCCGGGCCGCACGCATGCCAGGCAAGTGCGCTACCGCTTAAGCCACATCCCCAGCCCCAAGTTTAAATTATTTTTAAATCAACCAACACATTCATTAGTGAGATTTGCTTCCCTTCATATGGATCCATTCGAGAGCCTCCTAGTGGGCACTGAGTGAAAAATACCTGTAGAAAAGGGAGTGATTCATTTCTCTGAGATGGCCAAAGCTGTCTTCACAGGAACTTCCTGGACTATCTTTAATTTGCAATATTTCACCAACCAATGGTGGTATCCGAATGTGGTATCCCCTATAGAAGTGGCCACTAGTTTTCCTGCTGGATTTCTTCAGCAGTCTGAATTTTCTAGGACTCTGGCCTTGGCAGCGTTTAATGATAAAGATTCCTCTTCTGATGCGTCCTTCATTTCTAGTACTGGACATATATATATATATTTTTTTTGGCTCAGCTAGATGTAGCAGCATAGTTAAGTGTTTGGGTCTCAGCT